GGTCTACAAAATCATGAGAGGTATAGACAGGGTGGATAGCAAGAAGCTTTTTCCCAGAGTGGGGGACTCAATTACTAGGGGTCACGATTTCAAGGTGAGAGGGGATAAGTTTAAGGGAGATATGCGTGGAAAGTTCTTTATGCAGAGGGTGGTGGGTGCCTGGAATGCGTTGCCAGTGGAGGTGGTAGAGGTGGGCACAATAGCGTCATTTAAGATGTATCTAGACAGATACATGCATGGGCAGGGAGCAGAGGGATACAGATCCTTGGAAAATAGGCGACAGGTTTAGATAGAGGATCTGGATCGGTGCAGGCTTGGAGGGCCGAAGGGCCTGTTCCTGTGCTGTAATTTTCTTTGTTCTTTGTTCTTTGTTCTTGTTCTCTTTGATTTCTTAGAGGAAGTAGAGTGTGATGAATTGTAGCCAAGATAGATGCGGGAATCAGTGGGATTTTACTGAATGTTAACAGACAATCTCCCTGTGGAAATGGAGATTGAGAAGTTAGGGAAGAGTTAGAGATGGACCAGGTGCAAATGAGAGAATAATGGAAATTCAAATTGAAATTTATGACCATTCTGTCCATCAACAGACTGTTTGCTTTCCTACACCTTTTAAATCTCTTAACTGAGCAAATTGCGCAGTGGATATTTGTTTGACAATACCTTGGTTTCTTTGGCATGACGACCAATGAAATTTGAAACATTTCCATTACTTGAGCTTGTGACCGTGTTCTAGTGTTGATTAGTTTTATGGACAAACGTCTAATATTTGATTTAAGAAAGCCTCTAATGAATTAAAACAAGGAAGAACTACATTTTTATATTGCTAAACTGGTACAAATGTCAGAGGAAAATATTCTGTACTCTGATATCAATCCAGTCTTTGGAATATTGACTTAGCTGCCTTCATTTCCTGCTGCTTGGTGTAGTCAATATCAATGAAAACCCAGGGTACATTGTGAACTGATGCACGCGGAGCATCATTGGCATACACATTGCTCTAGTTGTATACTGAAGTATATATCTTTTCTAGGTGTTTAGCTCTTGCCTTATTTGGAGGAAATGGTGAAACTGGATTTGAGCAGAACTCAACATATTCTGTGTTCAACATTTCCATTACATTAACTGATGATGGTTATCAACAGTTCTATGAGGTAAAGGCAATCAATAGTGATTTGTTTATTCATTTATATTCACCTTCAAGAATGCTTCCAGAATGTTTTAGTCTTTGGTGTACAAATTATTAATTACAGATAAATTACTTCAGTTACACACAAACATAAAAATTAGGAACCAGAGGAGGCCAGCCCTGCTCTGCCATTCAGTAAGTTCATAGCTGATCTAATTTTGACCTCAACCTCAAATCTGTTTTTCTTCCTACCCCAGCTAGCCTTTTTTGTCCTTTTTCCTTAACAAGAATATAACTACTTTTGCCTTGAAATTATTCAAGGGCTCTGGTTTCTTCACCTTTTCAGGAAGATAGTTCTGAAGACTCCCCACCCTCTGAGAAATGTTTTAAATGGGTGACCCTTGATTTTTAAACAGTGATCCCTCTGGATCATTTATGTTTCAATCATGTCACCTCTTACTGTTTGAAACTTTGGCATATACAGCCTACCCTGTTCAACCTTTCCTCATAAACCAACTCAATCATTTCAGACATTAGTCTGGTAAGCTTACTCTGAAGTTCCTCCATCACATTTACATCCTTCCTTAAATAAGACCAGTATTGTGCACATTACCCCTGATGTGGTCTTACCTGTGCCTTCTATAACTGAAGCATAACCTCCCTTCTTTTGTATATTCACTTTGCCTTGTGATAAATAATTGCATTCCATTAGCTTTCCTAATTAGTCACTATGCCTGCATACTAACCTTTTGTGATTCATGTTCCAAGATTCTTGTACATCAGAGTTCTGCAATATCTCACCATTTACACACAACCATAAGATGTAGGTGCAGAATTAGGCCATTTGACTCTCACTGAGTCTGTTCTGCCATTCATTGAAATCATGGATGATCCTCAACTACACTTTCCTGCCTTTTTCCCCATAACCTGTGATTCTCTTAATGATTAAAAATTGTCCATTCCAACGTTGAATATACTTAGTGACCCAACCCAACCTTCTGTGGTAAATCTGCAGATTCAGTGCACCTGAAGAGTATAAATTTACCTTCCTCTCTGTCCTAACTGGGTGAGCCCATATTCTGAGATTATTGTCCTAGACTCTCCCGCAAATGCAAACAACCTATCCTGTTGAGCCCCCTAAGAATTTTGCAGCTTCAATAGGGTCTGCTGTCATTCTTTTAAACTCAAGTGAGTACTAGCCCAGCATACTCAATCTCTACATACCTGATGTCAACAAAGTGAACATTCTGTAGACTGCCTCAGTAAATCATTCCTCAGAAAAAGGGATCAAACCTGTTCACAGTATTCTAGGTGTGATCTAGCTAATATATTAGTTTTAGCAGGATTTTGCTATGACTGTGCTCCATTCACTTGGATATAAAGGCCAGTATTCCAAATGTCTTCCCGGTTATCTGCTGAAATTATCTGCTAACTTTTTGTGATTTATGCACTTAATATGCTTCTTTCATTCTTCGTACCATAACAGGCAATTTCACATTTCCCACATTGTACTTGCTTTGCCACATCATGCCTACTCTTTTAACCTGTCTATGTCTATTTGTAGTTTCTTTATGTCCTTTTCACAACTTAGTTTCTTGCCTATCCTTGTGTTGACAGCAAATTTGTCAACCATACCTTCTATCCCTTCATCTAAATAATTGATACAAATTGTAAACGGTTGTAGTCCCAGCATCTGTCCCCGTGGCAGACAGCTTGTTGTGCCTTGCTAACTTGAAAAGACCCATTTATACCTATACTCTGATTCCTGTTAAACACCAGTCTTCTATCCATACCAAATATGCAACCCCCATGCCATGTGCTTTTATTTTCTGCAATAACCTTTGATATGGCCCCGTATTGAATGCCTGAAATTCAAAGAAAAAAAATGTAATGTCGTAAAGCTTAATGGTAAACCAAAGATTTGGGGAAATTTAAAAAAAAACACAGCAAAAGATGACCAAAAATAATAAAGATGGAGAAAATAAATTTTTGAGTGTCAATGAACAAGTAATATAAAAAAGGATAGGAAGACCTTTTTAATGTATAAAGTGGAAGAGAGGAGCCAAATTGAGCTTAGGCTTAATAGGGAATTGGACAGGTAAATGATATTGAGGAACTAGAATATGGCAGAGGAGTTGAGTAAATAAGGTTGCATCCTATGATGATAAAGAAAGTAGTGACAGAGATAGTACAAGCACGGATAGTAATCTTCCAAGAACTCTTAGATTCTGGAACAGTCCGAGAGGATTGGAAAACTGCCAATATGACACTCTTGCTCAATAAGTGAGGAAGACAAAAAAAAACTATCAGTAGGCCAGAGATAGTAGGAACTGCAGATGCTGGAGAATCTGAGATAACAAGGTGTAGAGCTGGATGAACACAGCAGGCCAAGCAGCATCAGAGGAGCAGGAAGGCTGACGTTTCAGGCATTTATGATTATGGAGCTAGGCCTGAAACGTCAGCCTTCCTGCTCCTCTGATACTACTTGGCCTGCTGTGTTCATCCAGCTCTACACCTATCCGTAGGCCAGTTTACTTAACATATAATAGCAGAACATGTAGGAATGCATAACATAATCATGCCACATCAGCATAGCTTCATGAAGGGGACATCATGTCTAACAAACTCAATGCTTTTGTGGAGGTAACAAGCAGGATAGATAAAGAGGAACTGGTAGATTTAAGATAATTAGATTTCCAAAATGTGTTTGATAAGATACTGCACAGAAGGGGTATTCTCTTTGTATGGATAGAAGATGGGTTAACTGACAGAAGATGAAATATTTTTGGAAGGCATTTGATAAAGTGCCACACATTAGGCTATTTAGTAAGATTAGATCTCATGACGTTGGAGGTAGTATATTAGCATGAATAGAGGATTGGCTAACTAATAGAAGACCGAGTTCAGATAAGGTGGCATTTTTTTGGATGGCAGCCTGTAGCTGCCATAGGAATCCATGCTGGAGCCACCATTATTTACAATATATATTCATGACTTGGATAGTGGAAGTGAATGTACTATCTTCAAGTTTGCAAGATGACATAAAAATAGTTGCAAAGGCAAGTGGCATGTATGATATAAAGAATCTGCAAAAGGATATGGACACATGAAATGAGTGGGAAAAAGCTTGGCAGATTGTGCACAATGTGGGAAAATGTGAGGAATAATAGAGGAACTGAATGTTATTTAAATGGAGAAAGCTTGCAGAAAGCTGCTGCACGCAGGGATTTTGGAATCCACGTGGATGAATTAAAAAGCTAATATCTAAGTTCAGTGGGTTGGAGAGAAAGTAAATGGAATATTGGTTTTGATTCAAAAGTAAAAAGAGTGTTAAAACAAGGAACACTTGCTAAAACTAAATAAGGCACAAGTTTGAACTAAAGTGGAATACTGTGGACAGTTTTGATCCCCTTATCCGAGGAAAAAGATACTGGCATTGTCGGCAGTCCAGAGAAGCTTCACGCCAGTTGATCCTCAGCATGGAAAGATTTTCTTGCGAGGAGAGGTTGAACAGATTGAGCTCATATTTATTCGAATTTAGACAAATGAGAGACAACCTTGTTGAAACATTGAAGACTCCCAGGGGTCTTGACAGGATGGATGCAAAGAGGTTGTTTCCTCTTGAGGGAGAGTCTAAAGCCAGAGCGCACAATCTGTAGTGGAGTCATCTATTTAAAACGTTAATGAGAAAGAGATTTTTTTCTCTTCCATAGGCTAGTGAATCTGTGGGATTCTTTGCTGCAGAAGGCTATAGAGGCCGTGTTTAAGTATATTAGAGGCAGAGAGAGACCAGATTTTTAATCAGTAAAGGAATCAAGTGTCATGGGGAAAAGACAGGGAGGTGGAGTTTAGGATTATTAGATCAGCCATGACCTCATTGAACGACATAATTCTGCTCCTATGATATATGGCCTTATGGCCTTCTGGAAGTCTAAGTACAGTATACTCCCGTTTATCCACAGCATGTGTTACTTCCTCAAAAAGTCTCCAATGGATTGGTCCAACATGATTTCCCTTGAACAAAACCATGTTGATTCTGCTGTATTATCTTTAAGTTATTCAAGTGTTCCGCAATAACTTCCTTAACAATCATTTATGCCATTATCCCCATGATATAAAAACCTAAAGAACTGCGGATGCTGTAAATCAGGAGCAAAAACAAAGTTGCTGGAGAAGCTCAGCAGGTCTGGCAACATCTGTGAAGGGAAAAAGAGTTAACATTTCGGGTCCGGTGACCCTTCCTCAGAACTGATATATGTTAAGCTAACTGGTCTAATAGGCAGAAAACTGGAAACTACCTCACCTTTTGAATAAGGTAGCTATGTTTGCTATCTTCCTATCTAACGGGACCATCTCCAAATCAAGGCAGTTTTAGAAAAGTAAAATTGATACATCAAATATCATGTTAGCCACTTCTTTAAGACCCTAGGATGAAATTCAGGGACCTAGGCATTTGTCGGCCTGCAACTCCAACAGTTTATTCAATCCCACTTCTCTGGTGCTTTTCTTCACTTTCCCTCTCTCTTCAATTTGCTGATTTATCTTTGCTTCTGGAATGTTACTTCTTTTCTCTATAGTGAAGACTGATACAAGACACTTGTTCAGTTCATCTGCTATTTCCTTATTTTCCATTATTAATTCTACAGCCCCACTCTATTGGTCCAACATTCATTTAAGTTAATTCCACTTTAAATATTTATACAAACTCTTGCTATCTGTTTTTATGCCTCTCATAGAATCATAGAACCTTTATATCGTGGAAGCAGGCCATTCACCCCATCAAGTCCACACTGATCCTCCAAAGAGCATCCCACCCTGTTCTCATAACTCTGCATTTCCCATGGCTAATTCACCTAGCCTGCACATCCCTGGACACTGTGGGCAATTTAACTTGGCCAATCCATCTAACCTGCACATCTTTGGACTGTGGGAGGAAACTGGAGCACCCGGAGGAAACCCACGCAGACATTCGCCTGAGGGTGGAATTGACTTGGATCCCTGCTAACCACTGAGCCACCATGTCATCCTGGCTAGCTTTCTCTATGGTGTTAGGGTTAGGGTTAGAGTTAGAGTTAGAGTTAGTCCTTGAATACTGACTAAGTCAGACTACAAGCGACGTCCCAGAGTGGAGAATAGCCAGTGTTGTCCCATTATTTAAGAAGGATAAGAGCAATATTCCTGGAAGCTGCAGACCTGTGAGTCTCATGTTGGTGGTAGGGAAATTATTGGAAAAGATTCTCGGGGAGGAGATCTGTGTGCATTTAGAAGCAAATGGACTTATTAGCGATAGACTGCATGGTTTTGTGCAGGGAAGGTCATGTCTCACTAACTTGATCGACTTTTTTTGTGAAGAGGTGATGACGATGATTGTTGAGGGAAAAGCAGTTGATGTTGTCTACATGGACTTCAGTAAATCCTTTGACAAGGTCCCTCATGGCAGACTGGTATAAAAGTTGAAGTCACGGGGTATCAGAGGTGAGCTGGCAAGAGGGATATGGAACTGACTTAGCGATAGGAGACAGAAGGTAACAGTGGAAGGATGCTTTTCGGAATGGAGGGCTGTGACTAGTGGTGTTCCACAGGATCAGAGCTGGGACCTCTGCTGTTCGTGATCTATATAAATGATTTGGAGGAAAGCATAGTTGGTCTAATTAGTAAGTTTGTAGGCGATACATAGATTGATAGTCAGGAGGATTGTCACAGATGCAGCATGAAATAGATCAGTTGGAGGCATGTGCAGAAAAATGGCAGATGGCGTTTAATTGAGACAAATGTGAGGTGATGCATTTTGGAAGGTCTTGTACAAGTAGAAATTATACAGTGACTGGCAGAACCCTTAGGAGTATTGATGTGCAGAGGGATCTGGGTGTACAGGTCCACAGATCACTGAAGGTGGCAGCGCAGGTAGATAATGTCACAAAAAAGGCTTATGGCATGCTTGCCTTCATTGAAAGGGTATTGAGTGCAAGGATATACAAGTCATGCTGCAGCTGTATAGAACTTTAGTTAGGCCACGCTTGGGATATTGTGTACAGTTCTGGTCATCACACTTCCAGAAGAATGTGGATGCTTTGGAAAGGGTACAGAAAAGGTTCACCAGGATGTTGCCTGGCATGGGGATATTAGCTATGAAGAAGGTTTGGATAGACTGGGTTTGTTTTTACTGGAATGCAGGAGGTTGAGAGGCGACCTAATAGAAGTTTATAAGATTGTGAACGGTATGGATAGAGTGGAAGATGTGAGGCTTTTTCCCAGGAGGGAGGGATCAATGACTAGGGAACACAGGTTCAAGGTGCGGGGTGGGGGGTGGGGGGGGCGGCGGTGATGGTGGTGGGCGGGGGTGTGGGTGGTTGGTGGGGTTGCGGAGTTTAAAAAGAGATGTGCAAGGCAAGTTTTTTACACCAAGGGTGGTGAGTGCCTGGAATGCGTTGCCAGAGGAGGCGGTGGAAGCAGACCATAATAGCAGCATTTGAGAAGCAGCTGGACGAATACATGAATGGGAAGAGAATGGAGGGATATGGATCCTGTAAGTGAAGACAGTTTTAGTATGGAAGGACAAAATGTAGCAGCTCCGGCTTGGAGGGCCAAGGCCTGTTCCTGTGTTGTATCATTCTTAGGTTTTGGTAGAACAAAAAACAGAGGTAGGACTGCCTCAGGTACAAAGAATCTCGGTAAATTACCGCTTACTTCATGCATTGCAGTTTCCAGGTTGAAGCTGCTTGAACTTAAACACTTGCCACAGATGTGTTTGCTCTGGATCAAACAGGCAAGCATGAACTCCAACATACGACAACTGTGACGCATTACACATCCTGTTATCCATAATGCATTATAAATAATTATATAATTCAATTAATTACATATTTCCTAATGTTTTTATATATTTTGTTAACCTTACTTAACTGTGGTTTGCTTGGACTTTCAGAAGGCATTCAATAAGGTCCCATGTAAGAGATTAACATGCACAATTAAAACACGTGGGATTAGAGGTTATGTACTGAAATGGATTGAGAACTCATTAGCAGCCACGAAATGAGCAGAAATAAGCAGATATTTTTCCGAGTGGCAAGCAGTAACTAGTGGGGTACTGCAGTGATCAGTGCTTGGACCCCAGCTATTCACAATATATATTAACGATTTAGATGAGGAAACTATATCTCCAAGTTTGCAGATCACACAAAGCTGAGTGGGAGAGCATGCTGTGAGGAGGATGCAAACATGCTTCATTGTGACTTGAACAAGTTTAATGAATGGACATGTACACTGCAGATGCAAGATTAATGTGGATAAATGAGGTTATCCACATTGGTAGCAAAAATAGACAGTATCTGCATGGTGATAGATTGAGAAAGGGGGAGATGCAATGAGACTGGGTGTCCTCATACATCATTCACTGAAAGTAAACGTGCAGGTGCAGCAGGTGGTGAAGAAGGCAAATGGTATGTTGGCCTTCATAGAGAGAGAGCTCAAGTACAGGAGTAGGGATGTCTTGTTGCAACCGTCCAGGGCATTGGTAAGACCACACTTGGAATATTGTGTGCAGTTTTGGCTTCCTTATCTGAGGAAGGGTGTTTTGGCTCTTGAAGGAGTATAGCAAAGTTTTAACAGACTGATTCTTGGGATGGCCCGACCGACACCCAGGGAGAGACTGGTTTGATTAGGAATATGTTTGCTGAGTGTGGAAGATCAAAGGGGGATCTCACAGAAACATATAAAATTTTAACAAGATTGAAGGTTAGATGCAGGAAGGATGTTCTTGATGACTCCCGTGTTCAGAACCAGGAGTCATGGTTGAAGGATAGGGGATAGACCATTTAGGACACAGCATGAACTGGTTGGACCAAAGGGTCTGTTACTGTACTGTATGACTCTGAGAATGGTAAACTTGTGGAATTCTCTGCCACAGAGAGAGCATTGAGGTCAAAACATGGACTAATTTCAAGAAGAACGTAGATATAATCCCTTGGGCTGAAGGGACCAAAGGGCATGTGGAGGAAATGGGAACAGGGTACTGAGTTTGATCAGCTATGATCATATTGAATGGCATTGCGCACAGGAAGAGTCGAATGGCCTACTCGTGTTTCCATTTTCTACATTTCCATGTTTATCACTTGTTGTTATACTATGGTGAACCTTACTCGCACAGTAAACCTTAGTCACATACCAGATGTTTGCCCAACAACTAGTTTCTTTTCCATAACAGAGTAAGAATCAAGTCTGAAAATGTTCAAGAAATACAAATGCAACAGAACGCCTCTTTCCCTCCATCCCTTAATTCCCTTAATCACCTAGCTCTGCCACTCTCTTGAAAGTCACACCTAAAGTGCTAATTTGCACTAAGTTAGCTAACTTTATATACTCCTAAAACACAAGATTTAGCTCGCTCACTGAGTGAGAATCCTGTTTCACTTGGCTTTTAATTAAACCCAACTGTGCTTTCACTGGTAGCCTGTTTAAAACACTGCTTGAGGCCGGCGGCAATAGAATGTGAACGTTGCATTCGGTTTAATAACAACTACAAACAAAATCAGATTTGTATGATATCAACATTTTGACTTTTTATATCCAACAACTGCATACATTCAATCCTAATTCAAAACAAGTTACTTGTAGTGCTAATTCATAGTCATTAAATACCAGTTGAATATGTTTTGCATGTGTTAATGACTATTGTTTTACTTCCAATATAGGTTGCACATATTGTGTTTCAGTATATGAAAATGCTACAAAAGCTTGGCCCTCAGGAAAGGTAATTATTGTTACGAGTGTTGTTTATGTTTTAGCTCCTATAATGTATACAGAAATATATGCCTTGCCATTCTGATTTGAAAACTGCTGGTGAAATTAAAAGAAATGCTCTGTGTGCAAGTTCCCACTAACCTTTTTCCTACCTTTCTTTAAACTGGTTGCTCAAGTTTGTTGCCAGTTGTTGGCAGTTCATGGATAACTCCCCCATTTTGCCCTTCATATGTTGGTTTTGATGAATGCCATTTCTGGATGAATTAATTGCGCAAATAGATGAAAACTGGTATGATATTGTTAGAATTACAGACAGATTGCTGCAGGGTGACTGGGGTTGGGAACTGAATATCTAGGGATATTAGGAAGAGCAGGCAAAAGTAAAAAGGCGTGGAGTTGCACTGATAGTTAAGGAGGAAATTACCACGATAGAGAGGAAGGATATTGACTCTGACAATGTGGAATCTGTATGGTTAGAGTAGGGATGATGTTGGGGTTGACACTAAACAGAAAAATAGGCATGCAGTAAATGGACATCTGTAATTATGGGTGATTTTAATCTGCATATAGATTGAGCAAATCAAACTAGTAACAATATCATAGAAAAGGAATTCCTGGAGTGTAGATGGCATAGTTTTCTGGACCAATACATTGAGAAACCCACTACAGAACTAGACTGGGTATTGTGTAATGAGAAAGGAATACATTGGCAGTCCTGTTGGGAGGAGTGACCATAATATGATAGAATTCTTCATGAAGATGGAGAGTGATATAGTTAATTCCAAGATTAGGGTCCTGAATCTAATTGGAGGAAATTACGTTGACACAAGTTTGCTGTGATAGATTAGGTGAAGGGGGTGTGTTTCCTAAAGGGATGATGATGAAATGGCAATGGCAAGTGTTCAGAGTTACATGGGTGAACTACGACAATTGTTTGTTTCTGTCGAGCATAAAAATAAAACAGAAAAGGTGGATAAACCATGACATACAGGGGAAAACAGAGATAGTATTACATCCAAGGAAGAAGCATACTAATTGACCAGGAAAAAAAGCAGATCTGAGGAGTCGGAGCAGTTTAGAATATAGTGTTTAGTGAGATGCATGAACTGAAGGAATTCAGTATTAGTAGGTAAATGGTGTGCGGGAAAATGATGGGATTGAAGATGGATAAATCCCCCGGGGCCTTGATAATGTATATCCTAGAGTACTTAAGCAAGTAGCCCTAGAAATGGTGGATGCATTGGTGACCGTCATCCAAGATACTGTAGGCCTTGGAACAGTTCCTACAGGTTGAAGATTAGTAAATATAACCCCGCTTTTTAAAAGAAGGAGGAAGAGAGAAAACTGGGAATTATAGCTCGGTCAGCCTGACATCAGTAATGGGGAAAATGCTAGAGTCTATTATAAAAGATTTAATAGCTGAACACTTGGAAAACAGTGGCAAGATTGAACAGAGTAAGCATTGATTTATGAAAGGGAAATCATTCTTGACAAATCATCTGGAATTCTTTGAGGATGTACATGGTAGAGTTGATGAGGGGGAGCCATTGATGTGATTTATTTAGACTTTGGGAAGGCTTTTGACAAAGTCTTATCTTACATAAGAGAGATTAGCATGTAAAATTAAAGCACCTGGGACAGGTTAGTGCATTGAAATGGATGGAAAACTGGTTGTCAGTCAGGAAAAAGAGTAGGAATAACCGGATCTGTTTCTGAATGGCAGACTGTGACTAGTGGGCTACCACAGGGATCAGCTCTAGGACCCAGCCATTTAAAATATATATTAATGATTTATGGACCACAATGTAATACCTCTAAGTTTGCAGATGACCCAAAGCTGGGTGGGAGGGTGAGCTAGGAGAAGTATGCAGACATGCTGCAGAATGATTTGGACAAGCTGAGTGAGTGGAAAATGCATGGAAAATACAGTATAATATGGATAAATGTGAGGTTATCCACTTTGGGATCAAAAACAGGCAAGTAGATTATTATCTGAATGGCTATAAATTGACTGAGGTGGAATGTGCAATGAGATCTGGGGGTCCTCCTATCAGTCACTGAAGGTAAGCGTGCAAGTGCAGCAAGCAGTCAAGAAAGTAAATGGTATGTTGGCCTTTACAGTGAGAGGATTTGAATATGGGAGCAGGGATGTCATGCCACATTTATACAAGGTCTTGGTGAGGCCACACCTGGAATATTGTATGCAGTTTGGTCCCTTTATCTAAGGAAGGGTGTTCTTGCCATAGAGTGCAACAAAAGTTTATCAGACTGATTCTTGGGATGGCAGGACTATCTTGTAAGCAGAGGTTGAATCTTTCAGGATTATAATCGGTGGAGTTCAGAAGAATGGGGGGGATCTCCTAGAAACCTATACAGGACGAGACAGGATAGACGCAGGAAGGATATTTCCAATGGGGGGAGTTCTGGTCCAGGGAAGGGGTAGTTGGGGGTGGCGGGGTGTGTGTTGGGGAGCAGTTGTGCGATGTCAGTCTAAGGACGTGTGGTAAACCATTTAGGGCTGAGGTGGGGAGAAATCATTTCCACTTAGAGTAACGATCCTGTGGAATTCACTACCACAGAAAGAAGTTGAGACCAAAGCATCTTACGATTTCAGGAAAGAGTTGGGTACAGCAATTGGGGCTAAATGGGCCAAAGAATACAGGGAAAAGCAGGAACAGGCTATTGAGTTGGATGATCAACCATGATCATAATGAGTGGCACAGCAGGCTGAAAGAGCTGAATGGCCTACTGCTGCTCCTGTTTTCTATGTTTCAATGTTAGTCATGGAGACAGACAAACAAATCACAAGATACCTACAAATGAGGAAACCCACTCTCAAAAATAATTCATCCAACCAAAAGGAAATGTTATTTTACCAAACCTCACCATTCCACTTCAGAATTCAGCAGTTCCTTAAATAATTTCAGAGGTTTGTGTTTCAGTTAGCCTATTCAGAAATTTGTGGAGCGTTGGTCACTGTATTTCTGAAGGAGGAGCTTCCTGCAACAGATTTGTATTTGACAATAGTTAATTGGCGATGTTGTAACCATCCCCTAATCTCAGTTTAATTTGGAGTGAAGTTCTCGACTTGTATTTTCTATGTATTGTATTCTGTGAGGTCCTGTCTGTCACCTTTTGATACAATATAGCCAAAATTATATTCACGCCCAATTTGTACCCCAGGAATCGACAATGCTTTTTAACAGAGGGTAGTAATTAAGAATGAGAACCATGTCTCTTTTATCACTTGCCTCGTCCAGGGGTGTTATGACCATTTTAACTGTAATAATTCAGCATAAACAGGAGATTGTTTCTGGCTTTCAAGGATCAATGTTGCTTAGTATTTTTAGGAACTGCCTATATCCACTAAGCATTAGTTGTTGCTTTATTTTCTGTTCCAAGGGAGTAATAAATAAATCCATTTATGCATAATGGTGTAATTAACTTATCTACCTAATTTTCTCATAGAATTTATAGTGAGATCCAGAAAATTGAAGATAATGAATTCCATTACCAGGAACAGGTATTCCATTTCTCTTCCCCTTTCTCTTTTTTTCCACTTTTTTAAACCAATTGGTTAACAGGGTACTAAAATTAAATTATTGTCCTTTTCTTTTTGGTTTTTTTTCCTTAGACTGATCCCATTGATTTTGTGGAAAATGTTTGTGAAAATATGCAGCTTTTTGCTAAAGAGGATTTCCTCACTGGAGATCAGTTATTATTTGAGTACAACCCAGAGGTAAATGTTATGGAGTTAATTGTTTCATGATATAATTGATACAATGTATAACTGTAGAATTTGTTTGCTGTTAAGAGAATTTGCCTCCATAGGTATTGCATCATACCTCTCAGTTTTACTTATCTTCGTGTGGTTTAAGCATATCTAATCTGTACTCCTTTTATCAAACTGCTGATAAACATAGGAACAAAAACAAAGTTGCTGGAAAAGCTCAGCAGGTCTGGCATCTGTGGAGGAGAAAACAGAGTTAACGTTTCGGGTCCAGTGACCCCTTCCTCAGA